TATAACATCATTAATTCAAAGATTAAATATGTTGTTATAATATTATCATGAATTTTATAAACAAAGTATATCAGATAAGGGACAACAAGGTCATCACGGACTTGTTTATTTTAAATTCACCCTCACAACTTAGAAACATTCAGTTCAATGGTAAAGTAATGAATTCTGCTGAATTTCTAATTATATGTATCAACCGAGCCTTGAGACGCTATTCAGACATATCATCATCATTATCATCAGCTCACTATACGTCCCCATCGAGGGGCTCAGATCCTACCCTAAATTAAGGGTGATTAGGCCACAGTCAACCACGCTGGCCAATTGCAGGTTGGTTGACTTCATACATATCTTTGAATTACTTCTTAGATATGTGCAGGTTGCATCACAATGTTTTCCTTCACCGTAAGAACGTCGGATAAATGTTCAGAAAATTAAAATTATAAATGTGAATGTTTGAATGTATCTTTAAAATGGCTGAACAGATCTTAATGAATTTTGGTGTACATTTAGAACATAGTCTGAAAGAACACATAGGCTACTATTTATATGTTTTTTTAATTTCGTGCGGACGAAGACAGGCGACAGCTAGTACGAGAATAAAACAAAATTTATTAAACAACTTTTCACTAACCAATGCAATAAAAAGATGTAACTTTTTTCTATTTTGTTTACATGCATGAATATTAATAAACAATAAGTTTATGATGAAAACTAGTTTGAATAATGTAGTAAAATTAAAATGCTTTTTTTAAGTAAACTACGAAGAGAATAAGGCCTTGGAATATTTCTGGTTACTTTTTACAAACAATATATAATATAGTATATTACATCTTGAATTGAATGAATATATTTCTTCGAATTTTCGTACTTTCCTTCAAATAAAAAAAAAATAATTTGAAAAAAAAAAATCTTATAAGAATTCATAGAAATTTTACATTAAATTTATGTATGACATTTTAGTCAGAAATTTTTGTAACATCTACAACAAAAAATTATCTCACAGGAAAAGATATAACTGGAATAGATTTTAGAAAGATACTTTAGTCTATTATAACTAATCCTGAGTAACAATTGCCTACATAATAGTACTAGAGTTCTTAGTATTCTGTTTTAAAGTTGGTTATAAATAAAATAAAACAATCTTGAAATTTCTTTATTTTCGGATTCAACAACCATATTTTACTGTACATCAAAACAATTAATAATTTAATAACTTCTGTTGTTATTTTTTTCTATATTTTCCTTTTATGTATTTACTTGTAAACAATGCTTTTGATTGTAGTAATAATTAGAGCAATCATTACTTTTTGTGTGAAAACTATGTTAATTGCTAAACAATAGGGCAATTGTTAGATATCAATAAGTAGGTAACTTAAACTTTAAGTATTAAAGATATTGATTTAATCCATTTACTATATTAATTCAAATTTATATATATTTGAATTGAATAACCTGCAGTATTTCTCATGTCCAGTGTGATATTATTATTTTGATAACCTCAAAATTCTTTGACACAACACTATTATATTATTTCCCATAAGAATTCAAATGAAGTTTTTAGGTTATTTACATCTTAAAAGTTTATTAACTTTATTAAAAAGCCAAAGTGATAAATAAAGAATTGTTATCACTCACCGTTTCTATTAGTTTCCTATTGTCTAAAAGTGTACTCTTATCCTTAATCTCCCCGGAGGCGATCCATGACTTGATCTGATCCCGTAGCCTCTGGAGTTTTTTAATCTCCTTCTTGAGATCGGCCTCATATTTTTCCTTCTGATTGCTATTTGTCGCATTGTGCACTTTCTTCCAGATGTCTTCAAATGTCTCAACCCCTTCTGTGACCTTTTTTAAACACCTGTCTATTTCACCTGCAACAAACATTTGCACATGAATAACATAAAACCTGTTTTGACAATGTTATTAACGACCGAATGCGTTACAAGTACTAAATGAATCGGAATGAGCACCCATCTGTTGTGTTCAGGTATCACTTGTATTGAATATCAAGTTAGTATCGGAATTGTCTGCGTCAAATGTGATCTTCATTTACGATCGACGTAGCATCGCGGCATCGACGTTTGACAGTGTATATTGTCGTATAGAAATATGAAATCCTAAATCACACCCGCAACATACTTCTCGTTTTCAATATCTGCAGTATGGCAGAGGTCTCACTGAACGGACAATAGAAGTCTAGAACACGTATCTACATAGGTTGGGGTCAATCTCTAACCTGATAACATGGCAAATTACCTTGTAATTTCCTTGACGCAGCCATAGCTATTTACACATATGGACGAACGTTCCGTACATATCCTAAACATACAAACTATTTACAATAAAATGCACAAAAATTATTGATAAACAGACAAACTACACATCTGAAGCTTTGTTCGAATCCAAGATGGCTACCGTACAACCGCTCGAACTCTTAGTGACTATACGCATCCAGGCCGAATGCCACAGAATAATTCTGCCTCGCGCCTGGAATGGTAATTAGCACAAAGCTTTCATAAATAATTATGAATAAGTTGTCACTAAAACAACAAACTTCAAATTTTCCACAAAATGATTTTAGGTACGTAGCGTAAACCATCAGTCAAGTGCGCAGGCGCAAAATAATAGAGCAAGGCATAGACAATATAGAACCTATTATGACAATTGTTTGTAGAATGCTTTCCATAAGAAAATTTCTGTTTTCTACTGAAAAATCAAAAATTGCAATAAGATATTTGGCAAATTCAAAAACTTCATCATTATAAACAGCTTCATGTGATATAATTAAAATTAACATAAAATCTTAAAATTATAATACAAAATCTCCACTTGCATAATTCCCGAATCATAAAAAATGTATGTAACTTACCTGTCTTTTATATTTGCTTTATATTAATTTAATTTGTTATAGTAAGCGTTAATAAGTAATAAAAATCTAGAAAAAATCTAGATTAACCGAACACAGTTTCATTTTCACATCTTTACACCCTTTTATAGCTATCTTTTGAGGACACTGGTCTGAATATAGATGGCGCTATTGTAAATTTTCACACTACGTTGCTTTATTTTAATATGTTACTATGTATAAATAAATACATTTTTTGTATACATTTCAACAAAAAATAACAAAAATATGAATGCGTAGGGCGTAAATATTTAAGATTTTCGTCTCTGCTTTTTTCCGTAACTATATCCTTGATTTTATAGAAATAAACAGCATTTTGCTAATACTTTAACAAAAATAATAATCTGTAAGCTGACACGAGAACAAAAAAATCGTCTTAATACGGCCGTAACAATGGCTATAAAATAGTGATAAAGCGGCTAAAAACACACCATTATCGTAAAGAGAGCTTTAAATTAGGATGGACTGGCATTATTCAAATCGCTTCCGATTTAGGTTAATGATATTTTTCACGCAATTGGCGAAACTGCGATATGATAAATTAAGTATACCAAAGAGTCATCAAAAATATCTTTTACCTTTTTGACAAAATATATTGGGTATGGCCGTCGTTAAACTAAAAAACGATGCAACAAATTCTGTAACTTCAAATCGGTTGTTACACATGTCACGAATCAGAACATGTCTGGTAAGGCGTAAATAAAAAAAAAATCTAATGGCCATCTTGCCCTATTTCTGGCTAGCAGCAGCTAGTGGTACGAGATTAATTTTAGAAACACCAATAAAAGGTAGAAGCTTTTTGTCTATAGAAGATAGATAATTTATAACCAGCTATAAATGTCGTTTACTTCGGCTTTGGGTAGCGAGTGTTAGCGGAATCTTTGCAGCCACTAAAATCAAAATTGTACAAAATAATCGATTCATGTTTATGTTGTATGGAAAATCTTCGATAATGATTAATGATGACTGTTTTCGATGAACAATATCATTGAAGTAGAAAAGTATGAGCTGTTGTCTATGATACGTACAGAAAGCCGATTCGAGAAACTTCCGTCAATAGTATGAGTATGATACTGACCTCTTATCAAACCCGCTGGTAATAGGACCATACCCTTATTTAAGTCGTAAATAGAGAAACAAATGTTCAAGGTCATTGTCGGAGAGTTACCTATCAGCAGGCAGCACCGAATGTTTACTCAATGGAAATGTAAAACTGTGAGACATGTGTCTTCATAAATTTTATTATCATAAATATGATTTTATGACATTCAATTATTTTTAAGTTGTGAACATAAACTCACGTTAGGTGTCGTTGTGACGAATTTTAAACATGATTAGTAAAGAACCAAACCGCACTGGGTATGTTCATTATCACTCCTAACCAAACTCCTAACTTAGGGTAGGCTTGTGTTCCTCGGTGGGCCGATGAAGAGGTGTGGTCTTTTCTGTATTACCAAATATTTTGTAATTGTGACGAAATCTTACCTAAAAATCTGTGAAAAATAACGCTGACGCTGTTCTTGCGCTGACGGTTTCATTTGCAATATTCAAAAACTTGTTCGTTTTATTTCAATGAAAGATAAATAATTAAATCAGAATTCGTCTTAATTTGTTGCCCATAAAACTTTTTATGGGTCGTAAATGTCACGACATTGTTTTTATGTTCATTAAAATACAATCGACTTAATACCGTTAAATACATTTCGGTTAGGAAAACAAGAAATTTATTTTCAAAATTGTTTGTAGTCAAAGAATTAAATCCTACTAAGCCTACTTATATTATCAAATGTTTAGATTTATTGATTTATGGATGGATGGATATTTGATAGGAGGTATCTCCAAAATAGCTCAACGGATCTCGAGGAAATATGGTATGGATGTTGAATATGAACTAGAAAACTGCGTAGGTAGGTACATAAGTTCCACTTCATTCAACACTGAAGGAATCATAAGTGACATCTAGTGATGTATTTAAGAGTCACGCTATTTATCCATTTACAGAGCACAAGATTTTTTATCAACTTTAAAGATGCTAATTACAATTTGGGGTCAAACTAAGACATCTTTCATTTCCATTACAGCGTTAGCTATCAGTTACTCGTATTTTCGTAATTTGTACATGAAATTATCACTGACAATATTATAAGTAAAGTATGAAAATATACCTTGCTTTAATCTAGAGAAACTAACATACAACATATATGATAGCGTACAGGTTTGTCTGCCTTTCGAACAGCCCTAATATTAATCATCTTACTACAAATATTGTATTTACCCTCCCAACTTGTATAAAGTGTACCGTAAATACAAGAATATATTAGTTTACTACGCAAATACATTTGGACGAATACACTTACTTATCGACGTGTTAGGGTTGTCGGTCAGTTTAATTGAGTAGTAAGAAAAAAATAAATATTATTTACTAATTTATTAAGAGCAGTTCTAGGCTACGCTTTCTTCGATGTTTTATCAAGGGTGTTTCTAATGGGTTGGCGCTAGGATGTGCAATGTGGTTCTTTAGCACTTGGCTCTACCGGTTGCAATCAAGAAAATCCGCGACATCTAACAAACTAGATAAGTATTTACAAAAAAATAATCGAAGACTACGGTTATTCTAAAACGACGGTTATTAAAAAGATATCTACTGTCTACCTTACTAAAATGTCGACGTTTATGTCCCCTCACTAATCATCCTGACCCTGGACTTTGTAAAGAAAGAACGTCATTCGCGCCAAAGGATTCTAACTAATAATGTCTAAAAGTACTAAATAAACATACTAGTAACTGATCAGGTTAACTTAAAATGTTTATATTTACGTTTGTAAAGGTATCAACCCTATTACCTGCCAGGCGGAGTACCGAAGGTCTGCAAACAAAAGTGTTAGCACGTCTCGCGAGTTGCGACGTGACCGCGTCTTTAGCCGCCCACAGCGCTGCGACCACACATAGACCATTACGTGCTTAATAATATTCTTATTGCACGGATATTCTATCATAATCATGGATTTTACAAGAAAAAATTACTAAGTAACTATTTTGTAGTTTTGAAACTTAATTAAACGGTAGATTTCTGTTCGTAAACTTAGAGTTACAGTATATAATGCTTGTCACTTACTTGGCTAAGAATAAGTTGAAATAAAGACCCGAATTACTCTGAAACGGACAGGCTATAAAATGACGTATTTTGTGCCTATTTGATTGTCGCCATTGTGGCGCTAACGGTAGGTTGGTTGAAGAGAATTCAAGTCTATAAGTCAAGAATAACCGTCATGTAACATCAACAGGAGCGTTTAAGTAGGAACGAAGCAAAAGCTGTTATTTCCAAGCAGCGACCTATCCATTACATTCATAGACTTGTTAGTCCTTCTTTATGTAACGGATAACGTAACGTTATTCTTTTCATAGTAAGCACTAATTGCTTGTCTGTGGGAAAGATAAGGTTTTTTGTAATAACTGTTAGGAAGGAAATCCGACACTGTGCCGGTGTACCGGCGCCTTACTAAAATGTCGTCGTTTATGTCCTCTCACTAATCATTCTGACACTTGCCTTTGTAATGAAAGCGCGCCATTCCCGCCAAAGGATTCTAATTAATAATGTCTAAAATAATTAATATTTTTTGCCATGATATGTTGAAAATACATAAGGATTTCGTATGTTATATTTATTTTAATGATTTAATGAGTAAAAAAAACAGTGTAGGTGGAGGTGAGGAAATGTTTACTTTTTGTTATTTTGACACGTGATGTCATGAAGGCAATTAACTGGTGTCATGTATTCATTGCGGGCAGTCATCAGCATCGATTCTCGATTACGGAACTGGAGCAAACATTGGACGCAGTATCCGATTACACGGCCAATCATGACCATCCACTTAATGAAAAATGCATTGCTTTTAAATGCGATTTAATTAATTTATTATTTTTAATAAGTGTTATGTACATACGTTACTACACGATCCAAAATTCAAGTTGTATATTTTCGCCAAACTTGTGTGTAACTCACCGTAGGTTTCTGACACCAACATCTCCGTTTAAAACATAGTGTTGTCAAAGACAATGAAAGGGATGATAAGTTTTAAGTAGAGATTTAGATCTCAGAAACCCATAACTGAAGCTGGCAACTTGTCTCTTCAATGCATATTCCGATCGATAACATCACACATTAAATTGTTTATGGCATCCATCAAATAGTCTTTGTAAAAGTACAATAACCTTAAAACAAAAGAGATATAGATAATGATTGTTTTTTTACAAATAAAATGTTTCCACTGAAAAGGATTAACATGGAATGTTCTAGGTAGTAGTTTCTCGAAAATAATATCTCGGTGTTCTTATAGAGAGACTTGGATTGACTGAATTGCATGTATCTGCGAAACAATTCAACGATAATCAATTAATCTGCAGTTAACCAACGTTTTTGACTAAAGCCTAGTCACCTCAAACTTAGAGAGGTCGATCTTCAGGATTACGGTCGTATGTGAATTGACAATAAAAAAGTTCTACACTGTATATAACGACATCTATTATTTTTTTTATTGATTTTTTTTAAATAATTGGCAAGGAACGTTTCAGGATTAACATCTCTGATTTAGATTGATGACATATCACTCGTCGACCACGTGGTGGCCACTGTTATTATCTTTACTTTATTATAAGTAATAAAAAAGCTTATAATCCATTTATCAATTTAATCTCGTTATAAATTGAACAC